ACCAGAATAAAATGTGTCGATTTGGTCAGCCTATCTACAATAACCCATATTACGTCAAATTTCTTCAAAGTCCACGGGAGCCAAGAACCGAAATCCATTGTAATACACTCCCACTTCCACTCGGGAATCTCAAGTCTCTTAAGCAAACCTCCCGGACTCTGATGCTCATACTTCACCTGGTGGCAATTCATGCACCAAGCCACATACTCCACTATATCTTTCTTCATTGTTCTACACCAATAGTGCTGCCTCAAATCCTGATACATCTTAGCGTCGCAAACTGTGGGCCTCCTCAAGCATCAACTCATGCAAACCATCCATATTGGGCACACATATCCGGCGCTGCATCCACAACACTCCGTCATCTCCAATAGAAACCTCGTTGGCATGACCTTGATGCATTGTGTCCTGATGGACAAGCAAATGAGGGTCCTCACAATGACGCTCTCTGATGCGCTCATATAAAGAAGACCGAAAAACCACGCAAGCAAGAACCCGGCTGGGCTCTGTAACATCCAGTCTCACAAATTGATTGGCCAAAGGCCGAACATCCATGGCTATTGGCCTCTCTGTTGTATGCCAAACTGCCCATACACTCTGACTTTCTACTCAAGGCACCGCCACCACATTGGCCTTCCCGGGATGATACAGAATGGTGACATCATAGTCTTTCAGCAACTCTAACCATCTCCGTTGCCGCAAATTAAGACCTTTCACTTGAACCTATGCTGGATACCCCGGTGGTCGGTATAGACCTCACATGGAACACCGTACAGATAATGCCTTCAAATCTCCAATGTAGGAACAATAATTGCTAATCCCAAGTCATCAACCGGGTAAAAATCTAGGAAGATGGGGGACTCGGAGGCCTACAGACGCTGGCAGTTATAGCTTGAAGTCTCCACGCACGAACCCAAATCACTGATGCCTGGACTGGTTAGAGGTACCTGGATCAGCACAGAAAGATGTGCAGAAGCATAGTATGAGTACACCACAACGATACCCAATAAGCGCCAAGCCTAACCTCGGTAGAGTAGTGACGAGGTCAGGTTAAGGCCCTACTGAATAAATAAAAGACTGAACAAGTGTAAGGTAGTGTAATAATAACAGTAATGAAATTTAAACAACAAATAATGTATCAAGGTTAGCTACACGGAACTAAAGCAATTAGTGCAACACGGAGAAAATAATGAAAAATATGCTAAGGAAACAACAACTAAAGACAAGTGCAAACATGGAAAATGCCAACAACAGTCACTACTGAGGTACCGCCTCGTAGTCTCAAATCACAAGAATAAATCATAATCTTTCCTTATATTACCGCGGGAGCCTTTACATTTAGTTTTAAAAATTATTTTTTCCGAAATAGCATCCCGCGTTTTAGCCACCTTATTACACCGCATGACTTCTAGTAGTTCCCCTACTAGCCACGCATATGAAGCCTGCCTTATCTTGCCGTATAAGTTTCGACCCCAAAACCTTATACCATCATATGCGTATCAATATCAAAACATATCACAAATCGTATCTCAAGTGCACAATATCACAAATTGCCAGAGAAACCAAACAATAACAGTATTTTCACAGTAAAGAGCCAATGGCTCAACCACAATGTACACAAGAGTCTCTATCCATTAGAAAGCCTTTCCCTTGATTATCCAACTCCGAACGGCTCGAATCTAGCCAAGAAAACTTCATACGGTAAATATGAACTATAGAAAACTAATTCAATCATGAAGTACGATCTTTGCAAAGAATTAAAAAGTCAACCCAAAATGTAAACCCGGGCTCGCGTCTCGGAATCCAAACAAAATTATATAATCCGAACATCCATTCAATAATGAGTTCAAGCATATAAGAATTACTCAACTCAGGCCGCAAATCGCCTTTCAAATCCCCAAATTATAGCCTAAGAAGTTTCACAAAATTTCCAAAATTTCAAACTCCAAAATACTAATTTAATGATGAAACAACAATAGGTTCATGTAATTTAACCAAAATCGAGTTAGAAATTCTTACCCCAATGTTTCCCTTGAAAATCTCCCGAAATGTCGCCTCACACCGAGCTCTCCAAGTCCAAAAATGGATTATGAATGAAACCCTCGAAATTTCGCATTTTTTGCCCAGCAAATCCACTTCTCAAGCCTGGGGTCGCACCTGTGATGCCGCGCCTGGGGAAATTCCATCGCATGTACGAATTCTACTTAAATCTAGGAGTTTCGCTTTTGCAGACCATGGCTCGCACCTGTGAACCAGCTTTTGCGGAGAAGGAGACCGCACCCGCGGTCCTGTTCAAAGCCACCTCATCCTATTTTGCTTCTGCGGAAGAAATGGTCGCGCTTGTGGAGGTACACTTGCGCCTAGGGGTCCGCACCTGCGAGCCCAGCCCTGGGCTCTCCTTTCGCTTCTGTGCTTCACCTTCCGCACCTGCGATTCCGCACCCGCAGTCAATCCATCCGCAGATGCGATGACTCCAGCAGACCTGGGATTTCAGCAATTGGGCTAAGTCCAAAATTGATCCGGATTCAATGCGAATCATAGTCGGGGCCCCCGGGATCCCGTCCGAATACACCAAAAAGTTTCAAAACACATAACGGACCTAGTCAAAGCTAAAAATTAAATCAAACATCATCGATTCTACGAATCGCACCCCAAATTCAAGCCTATGAACTATGAACTTCCGACTTCCAAAACCAATGCCAATTTATATCAAAACAACTCCGATTGACTTCAAATTTGCGCACAAGTCATAAATAATATTACAGACCTATTCCAACTTCTGAAATCGGGATCCGACCCCGATGACAATAATGTCAACTCCCGATAAAACTGCTCAAATGCGCCGAAACGACCTACGAACCTCCAATAAATATCCGGACATACTCCTAAGTCAAAAATTACCATATGGGGCTATTGGAACCATCAAAACTCCATTCCGGAGTCGTCTATACAAAAGTCATACTACGGTCCACTTTTTCAACTTAAGACTCCAACCTAGGAACTATGTGTCCCATTTCTCTCCGAAACTCGCCAGACACCAAAACCAAACACTTCGGCAAGTCGCATAACCATAATTTAATATAGAGGAAGCAATAATTAGGCAATCGGGGCTAAAGTACTCAAAACGGCCCGGCTAGGTCGTTACATGTGCCTCGGGGTAATTCTTGTTTTAGGCCCATACGTTGGGAACAATTTTATTATTTGAGCTTTCATTGGTTCCTCCTTATTTGAGTTCATTCATATCTCATCGGTGCTTTGATTATGTTACTTCTTTATTAACCGTTTAGTACTTGTTGTCATTTGCGTATCTATTATATTGTTGTTGGTTGTATATCAATAATCTTTCTGTTGTTAGCCTTACATTGATGTTCATTCCATTTTTAGCTTCATGCATTTGTTGTACAAGTTTCTGCGTCTAGTATGTATCTTGACCTGGCCTCGTCACTACTCTATCGAGGTTATGCTTGATACATATTAGGTACCGTTGTGGTGTACTCATGCTACACTTCTGCACATTTTTGTATAAATTCAGGTATTTCTTATCGTGATATTGAGAGTAGCGTCTGCGCGATGGAGACTTCATGGTATACCTGCTTGACGCTCGCAAGCCTTGGAGTAACCATCTTACTTACTTATGCTACTGTTAAATTATAAATCAAAACTGTATAGTATTTAGAAATTCTAGTGTATTTCAGTAGAGCTTATAACTCCGTACTACCAGTTTTGGGAAATGTATAACTATTGGCCGTTGCAGTTATGTATGTCACTTACTGATTTGTGATTTAATGATTAAATAGTTCAATTTAGTTATTAACTCAGTATGCGTGATGCTTACCTAGTCTTAGAGAGTAAGTGCCATCACGACATCCTAAGGTAAGAATTTGGGATCGTAACAATTATATAATATGGTAGCCAATTATTATCTTTGATCGTAGCAATAAAATAATTTGCAGCAAAATATTATAGTATGAACTTTGGACCACAGCTATCTCCAAAAAGTACGTCATAACTTCTCCTTATTGTTTTTCTAGTTTTATACTCCTTTTCCGGAAGTAGTTAGGAGTATTATTTGTTTGGTGAAAATAATAATTAATAGTATGTGCAGGACTTGTTCTTCTTATTTGAAAGCTCCCTCATGTAAATAGTAAACCGTAATGTTGTTCCAGTGGAAATCTCTTGACCGTATCCACAAGATTAATTCATTAACTTAGTCATGAGCGACTGAGTTCTTATCAATTAATTCTTGAATTGCCGTAATAATTCTAGGAGGAAAATCATATAATATGACTGGCAATAATGAACCCTTCTCCAACGGTGAAAGCGGAACCAAGATTTTCACCAAGGAAAGCTAAAAAATATATAAAAAAGTAAATATATGAAGAAACCACAGGAATTCAATATACACATATATATAGTATATTCACATAAAAAATTTACCTAGCTACACAGTATAATTTTTTGACGAAGAGGTATCGTGGCTCCATCACGGGAGAAAGTGATTGATTTTTTTTTTTTTTTAAATATGTAGTACTTTTAATGAAATGAAAGTTTAGTTCCAGATTTTCTTTAAAAATCGATAATAAAAAAACACAAAGTGGAATAAGATTGAATATTCAAAGTATTCCTCCCTCAACTAGAGCCCAGAAAAAAGTTTAAAAGGACAAACCGAATTGAGATTGGGATCGATGCCTAACAATACCTTGTATATTAGCTTGAAGTCACAAGTAATATAGTATTAGACTTATTTAGACAATCTAAATACTAGGTTTGGTTTCAAATATATTTATCAAACAAGAGAAACGATCCATTCAAACTTGAGAAAATTGAGAAACTACTACGTCTGAAATTTTCTTGCATGAATTACATTAAAAATTATGTCTTTTCTTAGAAATTGTCTTAGTCTGGCTCATTCTTAAAAGAGTTGCTACACCTAGAACTATTGTTATAAAGCCAAAGTCAAAACATATCCTGTCAATAAATACCATCCACCATATATTATTTCCAGCACATATTACTATCAAAAGCAATACATAGAACTGCATTATAACAAACAAGAATGGCCTCACAAAGCCTCTTTTTTCTTCATGTTTTAGCCATTTTTTCCCTAACAAGTCTTGCATTTTCAGCCTCTCTTTCTCCTTATTACTACTACAGAATTTGTCCCAAGGCTTTGCCAACTATTAAAAGGGTGGTTGAGGATGCAGTTCGACAGGAGAGGCGAATGGGAGCCTCTTTACTGCGTCTACATTTTCATGATTGTTTTGTTAATGTGAGTTTTTTTTTTTCCTCCAAATTTTTGGCTTTTGTTATATGGTATATTTGTTACTAATGTCATTGTAATTATAGGGTTGTGACGCTTCTATTCTTCTAGATCAAACAGCCACTATTGATAGCGAGAAGACTGCCCTTGCTAATAACAATTCCGCCAGAGGATTTGAAGTAATAGACAGAATCAAGTCAGAGGTTGATAAAGCTTGTGGACGTCCAATTGTATCTTGTGCAGATATTTTAGCTGTTGCAGCTCGTGATTCAGTGGTTGCGGTGTGTATAACTCACTTTTCTCCTAATATCAGATTTCGACGTTTAAATTTCCTTAACCTAATGAAACTAATTTTAATAAGCACGAGAATATTTTCATGATTTTGGTATATTTTACAACTACATGAAAGCACAGAAATACTTTTTAGTGGAATAAGACTTATAATATACTCCTTCTATTCCATTTTATATGGCACATTTTTATTTTTAACATGTTCAAAAAAGAATGTAATACGTTTGTATATTAAAAAGATCTTTACTTTCAAAGTTCTTATTGTATCCTTTGCTCCTATTACTATTGAAATGTCATGGTATTTTTAAGACCACAGATTCTAAAAATACATATAGCATGTGTGACAAATATATATATATATATATATATTTGAACTTTTACCTATAACGTCAGATAAATTAAAGGGGTGGAGTATGCTGAATAAGGCTCAGATATCTGTATTTCCAAAATATGACTCGATTGACATGAAAAAATAAAACTATAACAGGTAGCCACCTTTATGCATACAGACGTTCGAATCTCAAACTTAGTGAAAGAAATTGAAATTGCTATATATATATAGAGACACACCTGATGTTACTTTCATATAGATTTGATATGTTTTAAATATGTTTTATATACAAACAAAGTACATTAAATATGTTTTATATACAGTTAGGAGGACCATCATGGAGAGTGCCACTAGGAAGAAGGGATTCAACTACAGCCAGCAGAGCACAAGCTAACAATGATATTCCATCCCCATTTATGGACTTACCTTCACTTATCAACAATTTCAAGAATCAAGGCTTAAATCAGAAAGACCTTGTTGCACTCTCTGGTGGCCATACATTAGGATTTGCTCAGTGTTTCACCTTCAGGGATCGCATTTACAATGACACTAAAAATATTGATTCTAATTTTGCAAGACAAAGACAATCTAGTTGTCCACGATCAGGAGGTGATTCCAATCGTGCACCCCTTGATCCAACTCCAGCATTTTTTGACTCAAAGTATTTTAGTAATTTGGTAGCAAAGAAAGGGCTTTTGCGATCTGATCAAGCTTTGTTTAGTGGAGGTCAAACTGGTAATCTTGTTAATACTTATAGCGCAAATCGTTGGATTTTCTCCAAGGATTTTGCTAATTCGATGATTAAGATGGGTAATATCAAGCCATTGACTGGGAGCCGAGGTCAGATTCGGGTGAATTGCAGGAAGGTGAACTAAGAGATGTTGACTATGCTGAAGAAATCAATCAAGTGTTTAAAGAATTTTACTGCTTTTTTTTTTTCTTTTCGAATTATTTGAGCTTGTTGTGAAGATGAATGAGTTTGTAATAAAGTTCAAGAACCCCTCTGTTCCATGTCTTGCTAGCTGCTTTGAAAATTGATTGCTTTTGTCCGAGTATAATTTGATATGCTAATGGCATTGTAAGTTCATAATTTATATTGATGAGTAAATTCAAGGTGCCGTGACGGATGATGAATAGTGCATGTTTTTTAGTATGTTTACATATTATTTCTTATGTGTGTTGGGGGAGATCACATGCTTACTGTTACGACCCCAAATCCCCACCTTAAGATGTCATGATGGCACCTAGTCTCTAAGAATAGGTAAGCCTAACATACACGAACAGAAACAACGACTAAAAACATGAAATAAAGTTGATAAGTCTCATAATAACTTCAATACAGAACCACAATATAATATTCCCAAAACCTGTTTAGACTAAGTCTTAAGGTCTAGAGAAATGTACTAAAATCTTTAGTATAATATTGTCATAATAGAGGATAAACAGTAATAAGAAAATGGCGGAAGGTGACCCCGAAGCCTACGAGCATCGGGTAGGTATACCTTGAAGTGTCCGGAAATAGCTGAATGATCACTAACGTCTGGCAGGAGGATATGTACCTGGATCTACACAAAAATATGCAGAAGCGTATTATGAGTACACCACAATGGTACCCAGTAAGTATCAAGTCTAACCTCAGTAGAGTAGTGACGAGTCTAGGTCAGGACACCTACTAGGACTAGAAAAACTGAATAGAGTATAATAAAGACCAATAACGGTAAACGAGGAAATGAATGATAACAAAGCAGTACAATAATGTAGGCTAATAAAAAAATTTAAGGCAAGAACGGCAACGAGAAGTGAACTCATGATGAGAACAACAAGTAATCTAATAAGAACAAATACATATAAGACAATGAAGAAAACAACTAAAACTGTTCAACTAACAAGCCTTTTTTACATGGAATGTACACAAGAATCACAATCGAGGTAGCACGCCTCATATTCACATTCTACAATTCCAATCACAATCTTTTCTTATATCACCGCATGAGCCTTGCAGTTATTTGTAAAAATATTTTTCCGAAATAGATACACGCGTTTTAGCCCCCTTATCTTACTGAGAGGCTTCAAGTAATTCTCTTACTAACAATGTGGTATAAATCCCAGCTTATCTCACTGCATGCGTATCAACCCCTATCCTTATACCACCGCATGCATTATGGGTGTTCAAAATCGAACCGAAACCGAAAATCGAGCCGAAATCGAAGCTTAATGGCTTATTGTTATCGGGTTAACGGTTTAACGGACAGGGAACAGATTGAAATTTTTTTATTAACGGCTTGTTGGTTTGGGGAGGATTATTCAATTTTTTTAACGGATAATCCTTTTCCCGTTAAGGATTGAACATGTAATAATAGTAGTAGAATTTTTTTATGGCATTACATGTTTTGGAACATATTCGAAAAAATCCGTAGACCAAGTCGGAGACACACGAAATCTTTTGCATTGCTACAAAAGCCAATCAGAAGGAAAGTATTGAGACATTACATTGAGAAAATTGCGGCCAAGAAGTTCAATGAGAGATTCTTCCACAGCTCACCCAACTGAAACTCTGAGACTTAAATCGCAGCAGCAAAGGCATAGGCCAAAAGGGATAACGTCCTAAAAATCTGCTGCAAACCACTGCTATTGATTCACTTTTATGGACTCTTAGTTTTAATCTGTTGGTGTGCATTCCACTGCAACGACATCCACACTATAGATGTGCCTGAGAGAAAATGGAACTCATTAAGACAGTCATAAGTTGTGTATGACTTGGAGCGAGTTCAAGTAATTGCACAGAAAGGAAAGAATGCGCTGATGCAGAAAGATAATAGCTAAATTTGGTAAATTGCTTCATGTGCAATATAGATTGAATTAGGCCGATAAACCGTCCGATAAGAGGTAAACCGATACCAATCCACCTGATATCTTATTGGGTGGCTAGCGCATTAATACATTTAAAAGCCGATAACCGATAAACCAAACCGTTAAGAGTAAATAACCGCCCAATCCGCCCGATAAGCAGCCCTAGCATGCGTATCCATATCACAACACAATAATCAACTTGCACCATATGTGCTCATATGCCACAACACTTTCTAGAATCAACAATACTAATGTTGCCACAACATATAGCCTATGGCTCAATCACAATGTGTATAAGAATCTCAATAACAATAAAATGAATGACGAATACTCAACAAGGAAAGATATCTTAACAATTAACAACTTCAACCTCAATATGATAATGACTTTCACAACTTCAACATCAATAACCCAACAAGAAGATATTCCACAAAATAATAACTTCAAGTAAGAGTAATTCAACAATAAAGGGGTAACAAGACAATAAGAGAGGTAGCAACTCCAACTAAAGTATAAAGGAGTGATTACAACAGCAAAGGATAGAAAAAATACTAACAATGTCAATTAGAGCATGTGAGAGGAGAATCAGCAATGAAAGATGTAACATGTTAAAAGAAACTCAATTAAATGCATGGAAGAAATCTAAAATTATAAACCGGTCAAAATATCACATATAACTCGTGTATAGACTCGTCACCTTGTGTACACGTCTTTCGCCTAGTACAATAATACAAACAACCCAAATCCTAAAGGGTAGTTCTTCCACACAAAGTTAGGCAATATACTTACCTCAACTAGGTCAATCAACCCTCAAAAATAGCTTTTCCCCTAAAATCGCCGCTGTACAACTCAAATCTAACAAAATGACTTAATATCATCAAACAATGTAAGGGAAAACAATTACGATAGATAATGCTATAATCATCATACATTTCCCAAAATGTCAACAAAAGTCAATCCCGGGTCTTTCCAGTCAAAACCCAAGTCCAATGGGTAGATTCTAAATATTCATAACCCCACGAGTCCATATATGTGTTTTATTTTCAAATCCGAGTCCAAATCGACTCTCAAAACCCAAATTTTTATTTTTTAAAACATTGATAGTAATTCACAAATTTCCTCTTTGATTCTCACAAATTTGATGTTAAATCTAGTATATAATCATGACATATTGTTGGAAATTGATTATAATCACTTACCCAATATTTGCTGATTAAAATCCCTTATCCAAATTGCCTACTACCGAGTTTAGGATTCTCAAATGAGTGAAAATGATATAAAATCCCAACTGCCAGCCCTTTCGGTTCAGCTGCATATGTCGCAATTGCGGCACTAGGATTGCAATTGCAAACCATTGCGGTTGCAAATAATGTCTCGTAATTGTGGCTGCTAGCAGCCTAAATGGGAAGTCGCAAATGCGACACAGGCTTTGCAATTGCTGAGCCTGCTCCCTTCGCAAGCATGATGGGTGATGTCGTATTGTCTTTATTCATTATGTTTATCCGTTTCATTGGTTGATGACTTATTTGACTGTCTTATGTTGTTATTCCAATTGTAGTTATCGTATCTTGTTCCCCTTTCGCATGTCCCCTCTCAATCGTACATATCTAATCTCTATTTGTTGTTATGTTGCACGTATATCGTCATTCATATAGGTTAAATTACGTGAGTGTCCTATCATAGCCTCGTCACTACCTCTTTGAGGTTAGGCTCGTCACTTACGGAGTACATTGGGTCGGTTGTACTCATACTATAGTCTGCACTTCTTGTGTAGATTTTGGTACTGGTCCTAGCTGTACGTGAGGTGCTAGGACCAGTACATTTGGAGACTCGAGGTAGATCTGCTAGCATTCGCAGGCATTGAAGTCCCCTTCCTCCTTCCTCATTTACTGTTCATTTCATTCGAAACAGTTGTATTTATTTTGGACTCTATTTGTAGAACTTCTAGAAACTCATGTACTTGTGACTCCAGATCCGGGTTGTACTTGGATATGTTTGTTATTATGCCACTTCGTACTTCATTTTAGTTTCACTTCAGTTTAATTCGTTTATTTGTTTGACGTGTTTAAAAATTGGCTTAAAAATTACTCTAATGTTGGCTTGCCTAGCGAGTGAAATATTAGGCGCTATCACGGTCCCGAAGATGGGAATTCCGGGTCATGACAAGTTGGTATCAGAATACTAGGTTGCCTAGGTCTCACGAGTCACGAGCAGGCTTAGTAGAGTCTAGAGGATCAGTACAGAGACGTCTGTACTTATCTTCCAAAGGCTATGAAGTTTAGGAACATATTTCACTTCTATTCGTCTTTGTCGTGTGATTTTATTCTATCATTGATGATTGAACTCTTCTATTCTTGTTCTCTCGCAGATGGTAAGAACATGTACTGCATCTACAGCTGGACAGAAGCCAGAGCCCCTAGTGGATGCTCCTACTAGGGTAGAGGTCGAGGCCGAGGTCGCGCCAGAGGCCGAGGCAGAGACAGAGCTCAGCCTAGAGCTTGAGCAACAGCACCAGCAGTGAAGCCTCATATAGATTTTGATGAGGAGGTTCCAGCTCAGGCTGTACCTGTTGGACCAACTCAGGTCCAGGAGGGGTTCATAGCCACTCCAATGCTTCAGGATGCTCTAGTCCATTTAGTGGGCCTTATGGACAGTGTGGCCAAGGCCGGTACATTTCGGGTAGCACCTGCCGTCTCTCAGACTGGAGGAGGAGCATAGACTCCCGCCACTCACACTCCAGAGAAGATGGCTCCCTAGTATTAGAGTCCAGCAACCCCACCAGTTGGGGTAGTTCATCCGGTTGTTACGGCACATGTCGGTGATAGGCCCGCCATGTCTTCAAGGCTTTATTGAGATTGTACAAGTTTACTAAGCTCTTTCCAGTTCACTTCAGTGGTGCACCTTTTGAGGACCCATAGTATAATCTTGACCGCTGCCATGAGGTGCTACGGAACATGGGTATAGTTGAGACCAATGGGGTCGATTTTGCTGTGTTTCAGAAGACAGATTTCACAAAGAAGTGGTGGAGAGATTATATGTTGACAAGACCAGCTAGGTCACCTGTACTAACTTGGGAGCAGCTCTCACAATTATTTCTAGAGAACTTCCTCCCTGTCATACTGAGGGAGGATTATCGCAGGCAGTTTGAGTGTCTCCAGCAAGGCAGTATGAATGTTATTCAGTACGAGACCCATTTTGTGGATCTAGCTCGTCATGCCCTCATTTTGCTTCCTACTGAGAGGGAGAGGGTGAGGTGGTTTTTTGATGGACTCACTTA